GTCTCTGTGCAGTATGGTGTTTCTAACAAACCACTCACATCCGGTAACCAATCTCGTGATTTGGCTGGCGGCGTTCTCCGCCTCAGCGTATAGCAAACATTGTAAAAAGTGTCAAATAGATTAGAAAACTATTTCAACGCACAAAAGTATGCTACGATTTTAATCGAATTTTTTGCATTGGAGCTGACGGAACTAGTTCGTGAATAGTTACAAAGTGAATGGCTTATATAGAGTGTTCATGAGTATTGCTGAATGTTATTTATTTTATTTTTTTTTTTTTTTGAATTTTGGTTTATTAAGTGTAGAAACTGTACAATCACATATAGTACTTTAACAACACATATATATACATAAAATTAGAGCCAAACCTCACTCAATTTGTGAGGACTGAGAAAAAAAGAAAAATAATAATAATAATATTTATTGAATACCCATTGTTTTGGCAAAGCCCTGCCGTTTAAGTCGTCTTAGGGGTCTGGCAGGTGTTAGACCTCTTGCGAGTAGGCTTTGATGTCGTACAAGTCTGTCTGAGTATCTGCTTGTGTGTTTATTTATTTGTTCTTCGACAGTAGACAGCTTGAGGTCTCTATGCAGTGTTGAGCCGCGTATGTACCAGGGACAGTTTGTTATCTGCCTTAACACTCTGTTCTGCAAAACCTGCACTCTTTTATAATTCGATTTTGCAGCGATCCCTCAGATTTGCACTCCATAGAGCCATATTGGTAGGATGCAGTGCACATAGACAGCTCTTTTGCATCTCAGCGGTAAGGTGCTCTTTCTATTGGTGAGCCATCTTAATTGTTGCAGTCTGTGACGACATTTTTTCACCGTAGCTTTGAGGTGTAACTGAATGTTATTAATCATTTGACCTGCTTAACGGGATTATAGATAGTCATTGTAATTTACGTTAGTCCACTTAGGTAAACAGCTGGACTCGGATGAAAGTTATTAGAAGAACCGCATCAAGTGCTTTCTAATCTAGTTAGAGTTTCTCTTCTGGAATCCAATTTCGTTTGAGCTGAGCTGACATTGTAAACTAATCTCTGTCACATGCAGCGCGTGTCACAGCGGATTTGTGTAATTATTATGCAACAAGTATTGTTGCCGAGAGCAGAGCCAAGCAGCTTACAACCAGCACGCATAGTGTGTGTTGAGCGTGTCTGCTCTGGCTGAATGCAAAATTCGAATTGCCAGAGCCGTGGCAAGAGCGCATACGAAAATTGCCATAGCCGCAACGGGCGCTGGCAAACCCAAGACGGAGGAGAGTCAGCGGCTGTGATGCTGAGTGTTGCATGTCAACACCATTGTTGCACAAGCCGCAGCGCGTTAACTCTCCCTGGACGCATTTGCTGCTTTCAAGTCAAAGAGACAGCCGCAGGCAACTCTGTAAGCTGAGAGAGAGAGAAAGAGACAGAGTGTGCGTGTGTGTGTGGCAGCTACGTGATTGTGCTGCCAATGCCACAAAGCAGCGCTGCGCGGCGTTTTTGGCCTGAGCACTAAGCGACGTTGATGGCCGAGGCCAAAATGCAATGTTGCAATTTGCCAAATTGAAAACACGAAAATGAAAGCGCCAGCTCGACTACAAAGTAGCCGCCAAGTTAATTTACGCTAACGCGTATGCAGCAATAGCCGCATCCGCATCCGCATCCGCACTTGCACTTGCGTCTGCACAGCAACAATGCGGTCACTAATTCTCTAATTTCGAGCGGACCCCACTCGACCTGGCGCATGCACAACTACAAAGGTGAAACCGCTTCAGGCGCAGCCCAGCTCAGACCAGCCCCGCCCATCTTCGCATTGCCTATTTATGGACACATGCAGGCTGTTAAGCTTCATTTGCATGTTGCAGCTGCAACTGCAGTTGCGACTAATGTGCGGCGTGGCAGCGAACATGTTTGCGCCGCATTTTAATTAAAAATAACTGCAGCATCAAAAAAAAAAAAAAAAAAAAAAAAAAACAAAAAAACAAAACGCACACATACACATTTTTTAATTAATGGAAATATGAGCCAGCTCGCTACTTTGTATATATGTATGTGTGTGTGTGAGAGTTTGCCTTGCTGCAATTTGCCTTTGAAATGTGAATTGTTAGTAAATATTTAAGAGCTTCATTTGCATTTGCACCTATTTAACACACTGCACGTATGTATGTATGTGTGCGTGTGTGTATGTATCTGATTTGTTTAGCTTTGTTCAGTTTATTTACTTTCGTTTCGTTTATTTGTCGAGCTTAGGCGCTGCCGCTGCTCATTTCCGGTCAAACTTTCATGAACTGGCTTTGTGTGTGTGTGTGTGTGTGTGTGTGTGTTTGTAGCTGTTATGTTCGCATAATTTACCCCATATTTGTGGCAAACTAATTGCGGCACACGTCGGCCACGTTACCCCGTTCGCCCGCTGCCCCACTGCCCCACTGCCCCGCTGCACTGCCAGGCAGCTGAGCATCCGTGTCTAAGCTATGCAAATTTACTGCGATGCTTTGTTGACTGATTGCACAGCACAGCAGCTAGCAAAGGGGCGACTCGGCCCGTCCGATTTGCTCTGAGCACATTTGCATTACATTAATTAAGCAAATTCGCATACAATGTGAACAGCGCCTCAGTCGGAATGCGAGGGAGTGTGTAGCGCCAGTGTCCTGTGTAGGAGCAGGACGACTCCTTCTGGCTGTTAGATGCCCAAAATGATTGAACATTGAGATTTAATTGATTAGCAGCAACATGATCACGACATAAGTGAACACTTTGCATTTGAATTGACATTGGCTACGACTTTAAATGCTGCTTTTGATTTTGTGGTCAATCTGCTACTGCAGACGCCTGAACGCTTGCGGGATATAAAAAGAAAATTTGTTAGCCGCAAAGCGCATTAAAATCTTAATCTTTAATGTTGATCTTAAATCTGAGAAGTACTCTGGCTGAAAAGGGGGGGTATGTGCAACATGGCTGCAGCCACGCCCCAGTCACAAACAGTAACATGGCCGCCCATAAAACGTTGGCGAGAGCAAAGCAATTTCACACGCTCATGAATGGCAAAGTGATGCATATAGAGAAGGACAGGGACAGAGTGAGAGAGAGAGTGAGTTGTAGAGAGAGGGGGGGAGGGGGAAGGGGAGAGTTGCCTTTATAGAGCAGAGTTCAAGAATTTATTACCCAATTTGAAATTGCAAACGAGCGCGTGATAAAGCTCGAGGTAGTTGCTGTCGGCTTAGTCATTGTTGTTTGCATATACCCTGCACAGAGCGACGATTAGAATATGCTAGACAATGAAGATCTGACTAACAACAGTTAGGGTAGCAGCTAGCAACGCTTTTGTTGGCCATTGTGTTTTATTCAAAACAGCATTGTTTATGACAAGCGGAAAGCAGAGTGAAGAGAGCAGAATGCAAGGCAAAAACCGAGTCAATCGGTTGGCCGAGGCGAATGGGCGAATGGGGGAGTGGAGGGCTCGTGTGCACACAGAATATGAAAACGGAGGCGAGCGTGCAACAAACAAACATGGCTAGCACATAGTCGGAAAGCCAATCTATTTTTTCATGGTAAAAGGTGAAAATGTTCAGCAGCAAATGGAAATGCATAAGGCAGCTGGCAGCTCGATTAAATGGCAGCCACTCCCAGCCCCAAAAACTTTAGTTAAACATAAAGTCAAGGCGATGTGGCAAGTGCAGCGCATAGAAGTTGCGCACGTGGCGAATGCCGCGAGCCGTTCTATGCAAATGCCAAAAGCCATTTTAATGCAAATGCGCATAAATGCGCAATGGAGTCCCCAGTGGCCCATTGCCCCATTGCCCAATTCCGCCTGCCCCTGCCCCTGCCCCTGCCCCTGCCCCTGCCATAGCCCTTAGCGGAAGCGGTTTTCCTCGATTTCATTTAAATGTATTTTTCCTCTCTTCTTTATTTGCTATTTTTTTTATATATATTTTTTTTTGTTGTTGTCATATTTTGCTTGCGTCTTTGCCGGCTGTGAAATGTTGCCGCACTGTAAGTGGCAATTCGCTAGTCCCCACCATGCCCCATCGTCTCTCGACGCACGCTCAAAATTTGCATATGACATTGGTAAAATCAAAGCTCGATTGGTTGCTCCCTCTTTCTCACTCTCTCTCCCTCTCTGTTTGGCCTAAAGTGCACCTTGTGGTCATAAATTTTGCGTGCTCCAATGAAGCATTTAAATGTATTTGCATCTCGAGTTGTGTGATAGAATAAACAAATTTATTACATACAAAGGAAATAAATCCAATTTCATATACATGCATGCATATGTCTTCCAGACTCTCGCCATTCGTTTAAAATTCATTTCGCTTGCGCAAAAACAATTGACATTTTGAGAATTGCCAAGCTCAAGCGAAATGGCATTCGAATAATAGATTGGCCACATGAATGCGGCTGGAATGCCAGTAAGAAATATTGCCAGGAAAAGGAACTTACTCCGAGTGACTGGCTTAAGCCACTCTTTTCACTTGATAATAACAATCTAATCTGAGAAAACCTGAAATAATTCTCTGCTCATTTGGCCTGTTGGCTTACAGGAGATTGATTTTGGCTGCCTTATTGTTTCAATAGCGGCCATAGTTGATGTCATATATCGATTAGAATGGCTCATGATGAGGATTTAGAATTTTGAAAAGCAAGTAGCTCTCATGGGGGGAATACAGATTTTGATTGAATTTGAATGCAATCAGCTTTGTAAATGGCCAAACACCAATGTAGGTTTCAAGAAAAAGTAAATAGATAGAATAGAATAGAAATAGAATAGAAATTATACATAGAAATCAGAAACAAAAATATATTTATTAAAATATATTCATTAAAATTAATATATGGAAGCAGAGCTCGCCATTTTCATCCCGAATATTTCCCTTTTTATGACTTATTCATCATAATAGGTGCTCCATGATATATAGCTTCAAAACTTTTGTATAATGTTGGCCAAGAGCTAACTAAATGTTCCCCTTCAACTGACTGAGTAATCAACCAAGAAATACTAACCTTTTGTTCAATCTCTTGCAGCTTAAGTGAAATCAAGTTGACAGCACGTGGTCGCAAATCAAACAGAAATGAACTGTTAAATGGCTGCCGAGGCTTGTTTGTGCGTCAATATTTAAAGCCGGCAATAGAAGGACTGAGGCGACGGCTCCCGGGACTGAGGCGAACGTGCATGAACCGAGATCTAGAGGCTAATGTAACGAACACAGCCACAAGGGCTGAAGATGACACAAAGCCATTTGCCGGGCACAGTTTGAGTTGGTCTCGTCATCAATTACCCCTTCCCGGCGCTGTCCCATTAAGGTCGTGTAGCCAGCCAAACAGCCGCGGAGGCAACAATAGGCAACAGGCGACGGCAACAGGTCGTCAAGGAACTCAACCAGCCTCAACCAGCCTCAACCAGCCCACTCAGCCATATAAGTGGGCAGCTACGTGACTTTGTCAGCCCACGCAGCTGGAGCCGCAGTCAAGCGTTTAGCTGAAGAGCATCGCCCACTCAGTGAGGCTAGGCTGGGCCCGATTCACCTGATGTGGGAGCATCAGGTGTACTGAATGTATGCTAGCGACTTGGTAACCATTGCCGCTGCTGCCGTTGACACGATAACTAACAATCATGACCGATGTATCAGCTACCACGGGCAGGGCCGGCGATCGAGTCAGCTCCACAAGCTCCGAGGTGGCTGTGGAGACAACATCTCAAGCTCTAACCAATGGTGCCGCAAAGGAACCACTGGCAGCAGTAACAGCAGAAGCAACAGCAACAGCAACAGTCACAGCAACAACAACAGCAACAGTCACAGCAACAACAACTGCTGCAACAGCAACAATGGCAACTGCAGTCATAAGCAAGCAAGCAAAGTCCGAATGCCATTCACAAAGCAACAACAATCAGCATGTGGAAACAGCTCCGTCAAAACAATCCAGCGACAGTGAAGCGAGTGCGCCTACGACTGTGTCTATTCCATCAGCAAATGCCAAAATCAACAGCAGCAGCAGCGGTAAGACAACAGCCACACAGCAAGATGTGGACGAGGTGGCTCGCCTGTTCGAAGAGAAGCCCGAGGCCTTTGAGAAATGGCTAACGGAACGTGCACCGCCCGAGGCGCTGAGCCGCCTGCACGAGTTCATTGAGAGCCGCAAGCCGCACAAGCGGCCCTCGGTCACATCGGATTTGTTTCAGCAATGGATGGCCTCGCCCACCGTGCAGCAGGTGGGTGTTTCTTAAATATATCTACTTATAATGCAGGCTACAAACATATACTATATATATAACATACATATTGGAGTATCCGAGTAGCTGAATGTGTCAGATATACAGAAGTACAAACCCAGTTTGCTGCAGCTTAAGCTGGTGTTGCAATAAATTCGTTAACCACAACTGCAGCAACATTTGATATTTAATTCATCACAGGCGTCAAGTGGCGGCCGCAGCAGCTGCAACTCAAGTAAAACTGGAATATAAAAATACTTACAGTTAGAAGGTCTATGCAGTCGGGGCATGTCTGTGCTCTTTGCCCGTAATATATGCGATGTAATAGAAACTGATATAAGTGATATAAAAATATAGATATTCGAGTCAGATTGAATAACTTGCTGTTAGCTGAAGTTTGAAAGTTTCACTGTTATAATATTAAGCATACGCCCAGCTACGCCAGCAGGCTAACTGTTTTAGTCTATCGAATGTAGATTGTGAAGGCATTGCATGTGAAGAATTGTGATATTAAAAACAACTTGCAACTTGACCCTGATCCAATTGATTGCTGAAGTTTTGTAATATCGAAAGCTCATAGACAGCAAGCAGCTGCTCAAACACATATCAGAGGCGTGCTAAGGTATTGGAATTTATTTCAAAATTTAATTCGGTTAGTAAAACATAGTCGGGTTGCCGTTGTCATCATCTAGATTCTTTCCAATTTAAACACGCACAAGCCTGCGGTTTCTATTGCTGTTCCTCCTGCGGTTCCTCCTGCGGTTTGCCATAATTTGAGCTCGGCGTCTTTGGGCAGCTTGTTGTCGTGCGCGATTCCTACGCCATAAATTCTGCCTACGCTGCCGCCTTCTCATCCGTTGGATTTGGTTACGCAAACGCCTAACTATCGCCTGAGTCTCGGCCAATTGGGCAGCCGTTGCTGCTGCATCAGAGTTAGATGTTCCGGAATTATCAGAGGGACTGCTAATTGACGGTGTTGTCACTGGATTTCCACTCGTCGGTGGCGCCGTATTCGGCGCAGTATTTGGCTCTGGTGTTGGTGTTTCTTTGCAGCTTGGATCAGATTTATATTCGTCTTCTTTGCACTCGTCTGGAGTGCACTGCGCAGGATCCTTACATGCAGCATAGCTTCCTTGGATTACACAAATAGCCAAAACGGCACAGCCAAAGATCAGAGTTTGGATCCTCATCTTGTTGGTTTGGATGATAGGATTGAATGTGAAGCACTGATCCGAGCTGCCCATTTTATAGCGAATTTGAATTTGTGAATGGGTGTTTACTTTTTGCTTACGCACGCTGCTTTTACCATATGTGCCAACATTTGCCACACTTTAATAATTAATTTCTTTTTGTTTGTAATGATCATCCCACTTAAGTACAATTCAATTCAATTTTAGGCTTGTTCAATATTAAAACAGTAGTTTTTTTTTTTTTTTGCACGTCATTGTGCTTTATTGAGATCTTTTTATATTTTAGCTCTCAAAGTATTTATTTGCTTAGGCTATAGTTCTGTATACAATGATGATCATGGCAACATGTGAAATTTATATAAAAAAAAAAAAAACAAGTTCGAAATCGAGCTCAACTGCCTGCTGAATACTCGTCCATAGTCGAAGCTGAAGAAAAATATTGTTATAAAAAATATATATGAAAAAGGAGATCAACATAGATTTATTAGGAAAAATTTTAACTGTTAGTTCTAAAAACTGAACATGATCCAGATAGTGGTCAAAATATTCCAACAAACCTTGATTTTGCTTTCTTCTGTAATTTCCATTGATTTGTTCACACATATAAGAAACGCATCTTTATATTTCTATGGTGTTCTCTACAGACAGTAGAAAAACACCTTGAGTGGAGCGTAAGAGGTCTGCATATGACACGAGACAAAAGCTCGCTGCTATTTATAACAGTTCAGCTTATCACATTATTTTAAAGCATATCTTTAGTTAAGCTTGTAAATTAATATTTAATGAAATCGTACGCAAGTAGGAGTTTTGAATAGCCTGAGATCATTTCTTCGCCTGTTGATTCCGTTATCACTTATGGCAGTTTAACAAAAAGAATAATTAATTAAAGTAATACAGCAACCTTAAATTTTATTAACAGTTACTGAGTTAGTCTTGAATAGGCATGATCCTATTATCAAATAACGTGCTCAGCTTACTGGCAATCTATTCTTGACTATATATATACAGTGGAATCCGGTTATAACGACTCCGCTTAAAGCGTCCAACCGGTTATGTCGACGAAAATTCGATGTCTTGGTTGGTCCCCATACAAACTTATATGAAAGAGTCTCCGCTTAGTACGTCTCAGCTTTTACCGACAGTTCGTTTATCCCGACGATTTTATTTTTAATTTTTGAGTCATTCACCGGATATTACGACGTGCCGGAAAAAAAATGCGAAATAATGACAATAAATTTAAGCATTGAAAGACGCTGTTAGAAATAAATATGTTTCTATTTATCAGTGATCAGTGTGTACGTAGCAGCGAAATGCTGCTAAGACACAGAGAGAGAGAGAGAAAGAGAGACACAAGCTGCAAGTATCGTAGTGCAATTAAAGTGTGTATTGTCACTAAGAGAGAGACAACAATAGCTGTTGCTGAACGTGGTCCCGAGTGTCGCTAGGTGAGAGCGAGACGGCTAGTTATGTCGTTCGCAGCAGGGTCGCTGTGCTTTCGATGAACAAGAATATGCGACCATGATTAGAAATTTCGAAAGTAGAGGTGAAATCACACTTGGTCAAATACTATTGAACGAGAAAGAGCATTAAAAAGAGTTTAGCGACACACCGGGAATTCGTTGATACGCGCAGCTAAGATGGAAAACATGAATGAGAAACGCAACGCCTCGACATATATAAATAATTGTTGTTTTGATTAGAAAATTATTTTTTATACTCATTCACGAAAGTGAATCATTATACTCATTCACGAAAGTGAATCAGTATATTGGTTTTGTGCAATGTCCGTCTTGCTGTCCGTCCGTCTGTCCGTCTGTCCGTCCGTCCGTCTGTCCGTCTGTCCGTATGAACGCAATCTATTTCGGCGCTATTGAAGCTAGAGACTTGAAATTTGGAACACATACTCGTGTATATCTCCGATTTATAAAGTGTTAAAATTTTCCCGATCCGCCCACTAGGGGCGTGGCAAATCGGAAAATGCATTTTCCGATATACCAGAAATCATGTTTGTTGAAGAGCTAGAAAGCTGAAATTTGGTACGTAGGTCCGCGTTGACCACCCAAGATCACGAGCTATGGCGGATATATCTACGCCCATTGGGGGCGTGGCAAATCGGATAAAACTGTATCTCCTAAAGTTGTAAACCTAGAATGCTGAAATTTTGCACGTCAGCTAATGGTATGATAAAGTCTGAAGATAAATTATAAGTCTACGCCCATTGTGGGCGTGGCAAATCGGACCTGAAGATATAGTGATTTTTTAAATTCTCCTATATTTTGGACACTATTGATGCTAGAGACCTCAAATTTTGTATATATACTCGGACTGATCACCCAAGACCAAAAAGTTGTGTCGGATATATTCAAACTTTGCAGTTAGGGTACCGTTATCCCTTTCTAAAAACTGATCAAAAATGAGGTGTCTACGCCCAGTTGGGGCGTGGCAAATCGGAAAACCCTGTATATTCTACAGTATTAGAGCGAAACTTAACTACTAAATTATTGATGGGATGTGAATGAGTATTCCGCAGCCGGTAACGCCCGACTGCAACGTTCTTACTTGTTTTATGTTAAAATAATAAAATAAAATAAAAACAAGTAAGAAGGCTCCAGTCGAGACCACTCGACTAGGAGATACCCTGAACCCTCCAAGCTGATATTCTAATCATTGTGGACTTCCTTTATGCACACATACACATACACATACACATGCACTTATAAGCACGCGCTCTGCAAACTGCGCAATAAGCAGCGGCTGCGCTGCAATGTGGGCAATATTATGACAATTTATTTGTTGAATAATTTCTTTTGTAGACATACAATCTTAATGAAACTTTTAGAGCGTAATCATATAGTTAAAATGTGTGTACATTCCAAAGCACAAGTCTGTAGTACTTGAAATGAAATTTACAAATTGTGGGCGAATGGGGCGTGGTATCCAAAATCTGTAAAATACAAAATCTTGGTATCCATTAACTTTATAAACAACGCTAATTTGAAGTCTCCAGGTTTAAAAGTGTTCAAATTAAGCTGAAAAAACAATCTCGATTTTTCGATTATTCTCGATAAAAAAGTTATCGGATGAGTTATCGAAAAAATATGATAAACTTGTACTGCCTATGGTATACTCGAGTGTGCATGCCAAATTTCAGCTCTCTAGCTCTTATATCTTCTGAGATCCTTTTGCTCAGCTCGTCGTCCTGATCAAGAATATATATATTTTATGGGGTCTGCGATGATTCCTTCTGCCTGTTACATACTTTTCACAAAACCATTATACCCTGATTTCTCATTTTCAATGGGTTCAGGGTATAATAAATTTTTTTTTTTTCCTTCTGGTTAAAGCATCCTCCGGGTATAGCGACGTAAAATCGTCGGTCTATAACCGGATTCCACTGTGTTTCAATTCAATTATTATATATATATATATATATATATATATATATAACCTGATTTCCTTAATAGCTTCTGTGTTAAGGACCCAACGAGGTAGTGATCTACCTATGATCTACCTGTGGTAATCCTTATAGGATAGAGAGCGGAAGATCGAGTGAGCTGCCTTCTTCTACCTGTTACATACATTTTAGCGAAACCTGATGCCTGAGTATAGCCATGTTTTTTCGTAAATACAATTTTTTGGATAACAATATTGCCACCTGACCAATTAATGGATAAGATGTATCTAAAATATAAGTTATTAGCACCTGATTATTTCCTTGGAATATGGAAAAATACAGTTATGTTGCATATTCAAAAGGAAAGTTTATTGAAAAAATTCGGATAGATTGAAGGCCTGGTCTAGTATAGGCCT